TTTTTGAGACAGAGTTTCTCTGTAGCTTTTGGAGCTTGTCCTGGAACTAGCTCTTGTAGACCAGGCTGGCCTCAAATTCATAGAGATCCGCCTGCCTCTGCCTCCCAAGTGCTGGGACTAAAGGCATGCGCCACCACCGCCTGGCTAAACTCTGTCTCTTTTGAGCAAGTTGTCTCTGTATAGCCTTAGCTGTTCTTGTTTTTCCTGGAACTATCGCTGCTATATACCAGGTTGGCCTTGAACTCACAAAGATCTGCCTGCCTCTGCCTCCCAAATGCTGGGATTAAAGATATGTGCCACCACTGCTTGAGTCTCTTAGACCTCATAAAAGCTGCTGTATTCCTGGAGCGTGTGTGTGTGTGTGTGTGTGTGTGTGTGTGTGTGTGTGTGTGTATGTGTGTGTGTTTTGAGGGGTTGTTAGGGAGGTCACAGAATGAGAAAGAATAGATGTTGTTGTCTTATAGTTGTCATGGCAACCCTCTCTTGTTTGTATTTAACAACTACAAGCCTGTGTTTGGAAAAATGCTAATGGGATTAGGTTTTTAACTTTTACTCAACTATTTGCTTTAAGTTGCTATTATGATTTAAGACCATAAAATGATAAAAATGTTATTAAAGATTAATGGATCTTAGCTCCTTGCTCCTCATAGATTTGTCTGAAAGTACATTGGTGGCTCTGGCTTTTGGGGGAGGTCTCTAAAAATTATGCAAAGCATCTGTAGAGTTCACTCACATTGCATAACCCAACAAAGCAAACGCATAGTGTTTGGCCTTGCCTCACTAGGTATGCCTCCCACCCTCTCTCTGGAGATCAGTGCAGATGCCCATGTCCGGGGATATGTTGGAGAGAAGATCAAGTTGAAATGCACCTTCAAGTCATCTTCGGATGTCACTGACAAACTGACCATAGACTGGACATACCGGCCCCCCAGCAGCAGTCGCACAGAATCTGTAAGTGTGGACTTTTTAGAACGTTCCTCTGAGTGCCTGGCATGGCAGCACACGTCTATAATTTCAGCATTGGTGAGGTAGGAAGATCAAGAGTTCAAGGCCATTCTCAGCAACACAGCAGTCTTGAAGCCAACTTGATCTACACTTAAAAAAAGAAAGAAGGCCTGTGCCCTAGTTCAGTGAATAAAGACTCCTGCTTCGCAAGCCTGATGACCTAAGTTCAAGTCCTGAAACTCATGGGGGACGGAGAGAGTGCACACTCAAAAGTTGTCAAAAGTTGTCCTCTGATTTCTATGTGTAAAGCCTAGCCCTAATGTTCCTTCATGACTTCTTACACACCTACACCTACACACACACACACATACACACACACAGCACACATACCTCCAGAGACACACACACCACACACCTCCAGACACATACATACACATACACACCCACTCACCCACACACACCACAATACCTCCAAACACACACATACTACACACCTCCAGACACACACACCCACACCACACATACCTCCACACACACACACCTCCAGACACGTATACACACACCATACACCTACACACACACACACCACACACACATACATACCTCCAGACATACACACACACCTCCAGACACACACACCTCCAGACACACACCTACACACACACCACACATACCTCCAGACACACACACACACCACACACACCTCCAGACACACACACCACACACACTTCCAGATACATACAGATACACACAGACCACATATACCTCCAGACACACACACACACACCTCCAGACACATACACACACATCACACACCTACACACACACCACACACACACATACCTCCAGACACACATACCACACACCTATACACACACACACCTACAGACATACACACAACCTACACACTCACACACACCTCCAGACACACACACACCACACACCTACATACACATACCACACACATACACACCACACACACACCTCCAGACACACACACACACACACACCACACACCTCCAGACAGACACACACACACATAGACATACATACTACAGTTAAATTTAGAAACTGACCAGGCGATGGTGGCGCACGCCTTTAATCCCAGCCATTGGGAAGCAGAGGCAGGCAGATCTCTGGGAGTTCGAGGCCAGCCTGGTTTACAGAGTGAGTTCCATTACAGCCAGGATTGTTTCACAGAGAAACCCCGACTTGAAAGACAAACAAACAAAAAATAATTAGAAAATGAAATAAAAATAGATAGGGCTTTGGAGAAAGCTAGTCTTCTGCCCCTTATGATACTTGTTTAATCACACAGAGCCTTTTACTCTGCCATGTAAGACTCCTGCACATTATCTTCAAGGAAAATGATGGTCAGAAACCACGAGGAAATGGGGCTTGATTTGGTTGCCTTGTTGCTTCCTTCTGCGTGTCATCACAGCTTTGTTTTAGATCTGATGCACTAAGAAGGGCATCTCCAGGACGTGGGCTCCAGAAACTCCCCGCTCACGTCACTGACATCCGTTCTCTGATAGCTGCTCCCATCCGCTGTATCTGTGGGCGTGTCTGTCTGACAGTCCTGCACTCTGTAGATTTATCTTGGCTTCTCCTCTGGCCATGCAAACATCTGCAGTGATTTATATAGCTGCCTTTGAAGGAAGTTGTGGAACTTTGTAATGGTGACAGATGACATTGGTGACAGATGGTCTTGCAATATTAGAAGCAATATACTTTAGTCACACATATAAAACACATTTATGGTTCAAGTCCCATTATGGGTGTTTAATTAGAGATTACAATGCTGTAAAAACCCTTTCTCTTTCTTTCAGTTGCCTTGGTTCAGAATGGGTGCTATTTAAGAATATATTTGAATGTTGGGGCTGGAGAGATGGCTTCGCAGTTAAGAGCACAGACTGTTCTTCCAGAGAAACCCTGGGTTCAATTCCCAGCACCCACATGCTAGCTTACAACCTCATGTAACTCCAGTTCCAAGGGAATCAGATGCTCTCTCTGTTCTGGCCTCCCTGGGTAGCAGACATGCACTAACACACAGATGTACATGCAGGGAAACCCCCATACACATAAAATAATTTTTGAAAAACGTCAATACTATAGCCACATGTAAATTGCATTTTTATTTATTTATTTATTTGAGTATGTGTGCCACGTGAGCATATGAAGGTCAGAGGACAACTTGCAGAATCCAGGTCTCTCCCTCCACCCCTTGGATCCTGGGGATGCACGCAGACCTTCATCTCAGAGGCAAGGCGCCTTTACTCCCTGAGCCACCTCGCTGTCCTTCCTAGACTGGATTTTACAAAGTCTTCTTTATCCTATTTTCCTCCATTGGAAAAGAATGCCTTTTATCTCAGTGAATACGCTTTGAATTGTGCATTAGGAGCTGTGACTGAGTGCCATGGTGTGGAGTGCCGTGGTTTTGGGATACAGGTAACTGGCAAAGGAAACGCGGCGGGTGTCAAGGTTCCTGTTGTTTTAGATTAAAATAGTTCCCTTTATTCTGACTTGTCAGGACACCAGGCTGACCTTATTTGGCTCTGCCTCCTTGGCCAAAAGTAGGACAGAGTGAGCAGTTGGGAGCTTCTTGAGTCAGAACCCCATTGCAAACAATGCTTCTCCTAGAGTGCCGTCTGTGAGCAGTAGGGAGCTTCTGGAGTCAGAACCCCCATTGCAGACAATGCTTCTCCCAGAGTGCGGTCTGTGAGCCCAGTCAGAAACCAGCTAGCTCATCTGAGCAGGAATCAGCAGCATTCAAGAGTCTTGTCGCTCAGGGTTGCGGAGAAGTGGTTAGTTTGTCAGCCTTACTTCGATGATAGGACTTGGTTTTTGGAGACAGGTTTGCTCTGTACCCCAGTCTGTTCTTGAGTGTATAACTCAGGCTGGGCTCACCAACACAGCATTCCTGCCTCAGCCTCCTGAGTACTGGGAGTACAGGCACACACCATCATGTTGGCTTGGTAGGCCTCCTTTATCCCCCCGCCTTCCCGAACACTTGTCAAATATATGTTGGTTCTTACCGTTTCTACCAAAATGTAAGTTCCATGAGAACAGGAGCCATGATTGTGTGGCACCCATTGTATCCTGTTCCATCACACCTCTGGAACATGGGAGGTGTGCTAAGTATCTGTGAAGTGAATTCTTGATGAAACTGACCAGGGAGTGATTCAGCATCTTCTCTGAGGAATTGCTCTTCAAAGTTAGGCAATATGGTGGTTGGAAACGCCTGGTGTCCTAAGTGGAAGGTACCAAGTAAACAAAGAAAGAAGGAAGCCTCCTGTCTTGCATAAGAGTCGTGTTGATTATCATACCTGCCTGTCACACCTTCAGGCGTTAATATGTGCTTTTGGCGACCAAGTGTCCAGCCACTAAGTCCAAAGCAGTGCCACCTTAGTATGGTAGAGAGTCATTGCACGCTTATCAGGCATTTGACGTGGGCTTGTGTTAACGGCCACGGGAGAGACCAGAGAGAGACAGGATCTGGAAAACGAAGACCTCCCTTTGTCTCTAGCTAGCTGTGTGCCTGGGAGTAACCTGCCTCCCACGCTACAGTGACGTTCTGAGGGCCAAGGGAGGAAGCAGTGGCGGCCATTTGCAAACCGTGATAAACAAACATCGGGTGTTTCTTCAGATACAGTTCCCCTTCTTCAGCGTTATTGACATTTACGCCTGCGGGAAGTTTAGCAGTGCCCTTGACTTCTACCCACTAGGTGCCTGAAGCTCACAACCCAGTGTGCCAAGGAAACGAATAGCCTGGTTAAGCAGTAGGCAGAAGATCTGAGCAGACGTTTCCCAAAAGAAGCAATATCAGTGTTCAGATATATGAAAAAGCCCAGTGCCTCCAATTATAAAGGGACTAAAAATAAAACTGTAATGAGACCTCACCTCAGACAACCAAACAGAGCTGTTATAAAGTAGGCAAGTCATGGGGCTGGGGGATGGCTCAGAGGTTAGGAGTGTACACCGCTCTTGCTGAGGACCTGAGATGGCTCACAGTGGCCTGTGGGCACCTGCACTCATGCACAAACACACACATGCAAGCACACACACACACGTACATACATGTACACACACACGTACATACATGCACACACGATGAAAAATAATAAAAATAAGTCTTAGAAAGGCAGATTACAGTAAGGATTGGTGCAGGTTGGAGAAAAGGGAAATTTGCTAATGTAAATAATACAGCTAATTTAGAAAATGGCCTGGCAGTTCCTCAAAAGCAAAAATAGCTTCGAGGGTAGCTCAGAGGTAGAGCTTAGCGTGCACAAGGCCCAGGGGTCAAGTCTCAATACCACACAAAAAAGCCACATTGTGCTCCATAAATATACACAGTTACTATTTGTCAATTATAAAGAAATAAATACAATTTAAAACCTGGTGGGAAAAAAGAATCTGCCCACATTGTCAAATGTTTTGTGGAGAGTGAAGCTGCCTCTGCTTGAGGGTCATTACCTGGGGACTTTAGGAAGAATTTAGAAGAAAGTTCTTGCTTAGATCGCTCTGTGTGTGTGTGTGTGTGTGTGTGTGTGTGTGTGTCTCTATGTGTATATATGTATGGGTGTGTGGGTATGTGTGTGTGTAGGTCTCTGTTGTATATGTGTATGTGTGTGTGTGTGGTAACATGTGAAGGTGCCCTTAGAGCCAAGAAGTGTGGAATCCCCTAGAGCTGAAGTTCTGTGTGCTTGGGAACTCCCTGATGTGGGTGCTGGGAACTGACCTCAGGTCCTCTGGAAGGACACTTAGCCACTGAGTCATCTCTCCAGCCATAGACAAGTTCTCAGGACTCTCTCATCAAAGTTTCTTTCGGATCAGTTGTATTGACCTGTCTTTCTAAGAGAGAGGCGAGAAAGGCACTAAAAACAAAAGAAAAAAGCCAACTGGGGGGAAAAGAAAACCCTATTTTACAATTCTTTCTAACTTTGGATCTACTCAGCTTTTCATTTCATTGCGTTGTCCAAGTTAACCTTTTCTCTCGTGGTCTTTGCTTTCTTAGATTTTTCATTACCAGTCTTTCCAGTACCCAACGACAGCGGGCACGTTCCGAGACCGGATTTCCTGGGTTGGAAATGTGTACAAAGGGGATGCGTCCATCAGCATCAGCAACCCCACTCTGAAGGACAATGGGACGTTCAGCTGTGCCGTGAAGAATCCTCCAGACGTGTACCACAATATCCCCCTGACAGAGCTCACGGTCACAGAAAGGGGTAAGCTGCTCACTGCCAGGCTCCTCTACTGCTGTGCCTCCTCGGGTGTTTTCTGGAACTCATCAGTTGGCTTGGGGGATCACTGTGTCAAAGTTGTCTTCAAATGCCCGTTAAGACTGAATCTTTAGACGTTTATTTATTTTTATTTATTTTGTATGTGTGTCGGTGTGGGCATGCATGCTGCAATGGTGTCTAGAGGTCAGAAGACAGCGTGCAGGAGTTGGGAACCACCTTTACTGGCCGAGCTGTCTCAATTTTAACTTTGAAAGCTGGATTTTCTCTTTTAATGTCATAGTTTCTGCATTGTCTTTTTCATTCTATCTTCAGGTGACCAAATGTCTTGTGGAATGTTGAGCAATCCCCCCAATTTAATGAAGGGTGCTTGTGTGTGGTGTAGAACTTACTCCAGTTGTCCTGTTGGGGTCCTCTACAGCTCAGAGGCTGCTTGTGTGAGGGGCGCTCCCTCTAATAGTAGGCAGCGCTACATTTCTTTATGCTACAGAAACGGCACTTTCCTTCTCCTGTGCTGATAAGGTTATGAGTGACTCTTTTCAAAATTTTCCTCTGGTGACTATTATGTGGTTATTTGAACTTGAAACTGGGTTTGAACCAAAGACATAGAAACACATTATGAGTCATAATTTCCTCACCATTTCTTGGGGCTTCCCTCCATCCTTTATTTCCTCCTGCCTACCTACCCTGTCCTTTCTCCCTCCTCTTCCTCTCTCCCTCCTCACCTTTTTCTTTGTCATAATTGTCATCTGGTTTGATGATAACCCATTGCACATTTATGTACTTAGACCCCTGGCAAGAATAGATTTCATTTTTCTAGAAGGCAGATTTCTAAAAATGATATTTCCTTAAAAGTATATTCCCTGTAAACTTTGGCTGTCCTAGACCTTACTTTGTAAACCACCAGGCTGGCCTTGGTTGGAGATTGCCTGCCTCTGCCTCCCAGTGCGGGATCGAAGGTGTGTGCCACCATGCCTGGCTTGAAAGACCTTTATAATCGGGATCTTTTTAGTTACATCAAAGCAAATGTATCATATGCTAAGCTAAAATAATGTAAAAAATAGGACTTCTGCTTTTACAATCTGCATCCTGCCCCATATGTGCTTTTAGGCCCCTGGAAAGAAGAATGAACTGGTAGACTCCTAGGTGGTGGAGTTATGTGTACATGTTTATCCTTCTTGAATTGTTTCTATTGTCTGTGGTGAATTTATTCCCTTTGTAATGAGAAGCATGAGCAAAGCTGGGATCAGAAGAATCCCGAGCCTGATCTGAAGTCAGGCTGCACTTGCACAGCCCTCTCTCGGTTCTCCCTACAGGTTTTGGCACCATGCTGTCCTCGGTGGCCCTACTCTCCATCCTCGTCTTCATCCCCTCGGCAGTAGTGGTAGTTCTGCTGCTGGTGAGGATGGGGAGGAAGGCAACGGGGGTGAAGAAGAGGAGCAGGTCTGGCTATAAGAAGTCTTCCATTGAAGTTTCTGACGAGTAAGTCCCGCTGAGACCCCAACAGTGAGCCTGGGTCCTTTTCATAGCTCTGCACTGAGGGCAGCACCTGTGTTCCATATCCACACACTTCCCTCCCAGGCTGAGGTCAGCTCTAGTGCTGAGATTTCTTTCCAAATGGGGTAGTTCCGTGAGGGGCACCAGAGGAAGATTGGAGTGCCATTTGTGGACATTGACACGGAGGGAGGGATTGACAGGGAGCTTCTGTCAGGAACCACACTGTGCAGTGCTGCGGCTCCTCATTTACATTTTGAGCATATATCTCATCTCCTAACAGAATATGTATGAGCAGTGAAGGAGGCTTTGAGAAGAGCCCTGATGGGCAGAGGAAATTTAAAGAAGCATGTGCTGTTCTTGGTCAGCAGATGCTCTGAAGGGGTGTGGCTACTGTCTTAGTCCCTGCTCTAGAGCTGTGAAGAGACACCATGACCACGGCAACTCTAATAACAGAAATCATTTAACTGGGGGCTGGTGTACCATTTCAGAGGCTTAGTCCATTATCATCATGGTGGGAAGCATGGCAGTAGACATGATACTAGAGAAGCAGCTGAGAGCTACATCCTAATCAAGAGAGAAAGAGAGAGAGAGAGAGAGAGAGAGAGAGAGAGAGAGAGAGAGAGAGAATGAGAATGAGAAACTGGGCTTAGCATGGGCTTTTGAAACCCTAAAACCCAATGACATAACCCTAAAACCTACAAGCCCACATCCCCTAATCCTTTTAATCCTATCAAAGAGTTCTATTTCCTGGTGACTAAGTATTCAAATATATGAGCCAATGGAGGTCATTCTTATTCAAACCACATGGTTATCAAAAGCATCTATTAATCACCATTCTGCCAGTGGGCAGGCACAATCCAGTCGTTTCACTGAAACAGATTTACTTCTTAAAAGGAACAGAAATGTACATTAAAGCCCTGTAGCTGACACGAGGCGCACACCTTTAATTCCAGCACTCAGGAGGCAAAGGTCAGCAGGTTTCTTTGAGTTTAAGGCCAGCCTGGTCTATATAATGAGTTCCAGGCCAGCCAAGGATGCATAGTGAGACCCTATCTCAACAAAGCAACCAAAAAAGAAAGTTCTGTGATGTTTCCGTTGTCTGTGAAAGGACTCTTAGCCTAAGGATGAGGGAGTCTTAGCCTTGGGAAGTTCTAAAGTTTTCTTTCTGTCTATGTGTTTATTTATTTGCTGGAGAAAGACCTCCCTTTTCAAGGAATGTGTAACACACACACACACACACACACACACACACACAAGAATTATTGACAAACATACTGATGTCTGTTTCTAAGCGCAGTATATAAAACTCTCTGTGGTCTGTTCCCAAGTCAAATGTTTCCATCATTTGCTCTCATTCACTCTGTAGGCCGGCTATAGTCAGCTCATGTCTTTTTCCTCTAGATATTCTATAATCATTCGTGTGTGTGTGTGTGTGTGTGTACACGTCTGTCTGTCTCTACCTGTAATCTGTCCATTTGTCCATCATTTGCTTTCTTCCGACTCAGCATTCCTGGGATGGCCCCCTTCCCTCTCTTGTTTGTCTAGAAGCTTTCTTACCTGCAGGATCAAGCTGCATGTCCACTTCTCATCCTACTCCTTGAGTCCTGATCAGAGACTGGGTCTCCCCTGCACTGTGCCGCATGGCAGTTCCACCCTAACTGTTGGAATATTATCGTATGGTATTACAGTGCACATTAGTTCTTACCGTCCTCACCCACGTGGGTGTGGGAGCTCATCAACAGGCCAAGGCCTTTCTCTTTGCTGCTGTTCCCACCCTAGCATGGCACCCCAGCAGTACTGGTGTCCAGTCCTTTCCTGAGTGTATGATGGTGATGAGCTCCTGTTTGCTGGGTGTTCTGCTACCTGTCTCGTGCACACTTATTTCCTACTTATTCCTAACGACTCTCTTTTAAGAGTCAGCTATAAAACCACTCATGGGATTTCAATACCTGAGTTTGGAACTGTCCCCTGTGCTAAGGACTGTGGCAGCTGAGTTTTGCTATGTATTCTTCCCACAGCACTGACCAGGAGGACAGCAATGACTGCATGGCGAGGTTTTGTGTCCGCTGTGCAGAGTGTCTGGTAAGTGCCTGTTTCTTCTGGAGTTAGTTGGTTCTGTTCTTTTACCACGTGGGTCCCAGGGATTGGACTCAGGTCATCAGACTTGACAGCAAGCTCCTTTACCCACTGAGCCATCTCACCGGTCCGTGATTTTATGTTCTATCTCATGGGTGTAGAATTGTGTTCATTGTGTTCTTAAGAAAGGGGGTTGTGCAAGTAAGCTACTGACAGATCACACACACACACACACACACACACACACACACAACCAGCCAACCAAACCAAACAACAACAACAACAACAACAAAACCCTATTGAATTTTTACAGGAGGATTTCAAGTTTCTGGACTCAGAGCCCTGAACTGAATTCTCTGATGGACACTGGTATTTTAAAGGAAGTCAGGGTGTACAGTCTTTATGTGATTTGGTTGATGTCTTTTATCACCAAGAGACATCCTATTGGCAGGTCCTCATCCCTCTCTGAGCACAAGCAGTGACTCAGGCTTATGTGGCTGTCCTGGGATCTAAGGAGAAGGGAGGACTCTGATGTGGTGCAGCTGGAGACGCCTCAGAATCAACCTGTGATCTAATGTGGGCACACCTGTCCCTGAGCCGCTCAGCCTTTCTCCAGATGGGTGCAGCCCAGTCACTCACGGGGCTTCTCATTATTTGACTTCTGTGAGCTCGAATTTCCTATGTGAGCTGAGAAAAAGTTGTTAGTTTATGAAGAAGGACCTAGTCTCAACTCTCCAGGGTTTGAATACTTTGACAACACAGAGTAAGAGACAGTTAGTATCCATCTTCCTTCCTTCCTTCCTTCCTTCCTTCCTTCCTTCCTTCCTTGCTTCCTTTCTTTCTTTCTTTCTTTCTTTCTTTCTTTCTTTCTTTCTGAGACAGGGTTTCTCTGTAGCTTTGTAGCCTGTTCTGGAATTAGCTCTTGTAGACCAGGCTGGCCTCGAACTCACAGAGATCCGCCTGCTTCTGCTTCTCAAGTGCTGGGATTAAAGGCTTGTTCTACCACCACCTGGCCACATTTCTTGTATTAATTTATTTAATGATTGTTTATTGGCACCTGACATGTGCCATCTGTATCATTCTGGGTGCTGAGATCATAGAGGTGAAAACACTTCCAGCTCTTCCAGGGAAACGTTCTCTGCCTGAGAACCTCTCACACATCCTCTAGCGTGCAGTTGAAAGAGCATCTTTTCTTAAATTGGGGCATAAACACTGACGATTTTTTTTTTGTTGTTGTTGTTTTCGAGACAGGGTTTCTCTGTGGCTTCGGAGCCTGTCCTGGAACTAGCTCTGTAGACCAGGCTGGTCTCGAACTCACAGAGATCCGCCTGCCTCTGCCTCCCGAGTGCTGGGATTAAAGGCGTGTGCCACCACCGCCCGGCTAAAACTTGAAATTTGTATCTCATGTGTGTGAGTCTTATGTCTGCATGTGTGTCTGTGCACCGTGTGGATGCAGTGCCCATGGAGGCCAAAAGAGGGCATCAGATACCCTGAAAATTGAGTTACTGATGTGAGTGCTAGGACTTGAACCCAGGTTCTTTTAACTATTGAGCCCCAGGAGTCAAACCCTGGTCTTCTGGAAGGGCAGAGAATGTTCCTAACTACCTAGTCATCTCTCCAACCCCAGAACAAGATGTAAGAGTGAAATCAGGAGTTGAGTTTGAACATATTAAGTTTGAAATGTGTGGTGGGCAGTTATGTTTTCAGAACAGAGGCCTAGTCTGAAGATATGACCTGGGAGCCATTAGGAGATAGAGACAGATGGAGATATGTCCACCGAGGAAATAGATGAGTATATTTGTAGGAGAGGTCAAAGGACTGAGCCTGGAATTCTCGGAGGCTTCTAGATTGGAAAGACAAAGAGGAATTAACAAAAGATGATGACAAGGGTTGACCTGGTTTGAAGACCACCAAGAGAGTTTGATATCTTGGGAGATGGGGAAGAAAAATTTTCCAGGAACTGGGAGTTCACTGGTGATGTTTTAGTGATGTGGAGCCTACTGGTGACCTTGGCAAAAGTAGCCCCATTGGGATAGTGAGTACAAAAGGTACCAGGGAAGGGGCAAGAACCATCGCAAAGATACATTGGAGGAAGGGAGTGCCAATAGCTTTTCTTAGGTAGGAGGCAGAGAACTGGGGCAGTAGGTAGAGGGTACTGTGTGTTGAGTTGCTGTCTATGATGGGTGGAGCACATTTCTATGCCGTTGTGGCTGATCCAACAGAGAAGGAAAAATTGATGCAGCAAGAAAGAGAGAGAGAAGGGAGAATTGCTGAGTTTACACTAGGAGGTGTCACAGGAGGACATTGTTGCTGGAGATAAAGGCGGATAGTAGAGAAAAGCCGGGCACGGTGGCCCATGCCTCTAATCCCAGCACTCAGGAGGCAGAGGCAGGCGGACCTTTGTGTTTTGAGGACAGCCTGGTCTACAGAGAGAGGTCCAGGACAGTCAGGGATGCACAGAGAGAGTACATTATCTCCATTTCAGAGATGCTGAAGTTGTCACAGAGAAGTGTCTCGGGGTCCTTTAGCTAGAAAGGTTGGAGCGAGGTAAATGAGCTCCTAACCTCAGCCCTGTACATTCTGCTGGAGGCAAGCATTTCTGGTGTGTTTAGATCCTAAAATAAAATCATAAGGAGAACCACTGGGTCTTCAAAGCAGTGGTCAGCCTGCAAGACTGTGTTGAGGTCCTGTGATGCTCCATGGAACTCTTAGATGTGCTAGCAGGGATACCCAGCCATTGGTACCCAAGCTAGGTTCCATTTGGAGACCCCAGACACATGAACTTTGCCTCCATCTGACTGTGGCATTGTAGTGCACAAACATCTGCTATTCTTGCCCCTCTAGGATTCAGACTATGAAGAGGCCTACTGATGAAGTGTGTCTGATGGAAGAAGGGTTACCTAACAACAGGAAATATCCGGTTCCCCTGGCCAGAAGTGCCACTGGCGGGGATGGCAGTGACAGAAGATTCTGAAGGTCATTGGTGAAGACTTTAAGGACCATTTATTTATTGAAGAAGTGTTCATTTTATATTTATAAACTGTTCAGAAACTTCCAGAAGGGACTCAGGCCTTCCCTTTTTTTTTTTTAACACACTTGGATGGAACAAAGAAATTCTTGTCTTGAACAGAAACACACCCCTTGGTTTACCTTCGCTCTTGAAGGTAGTTCGTGTTTTCTTCCAGTTGCCTGAAGGAGGATACTAAACATCTGTCACTCTGCTGATGCCAAAATTGTACTTTTTAATGATGTGGAGCTTGTAGTTTCCCGATGACGTGCCAATGAACAACACGCTTGTTTGGGACAGGTAGCCTTTGCTTCCTCACGCACGTCTTCTGTTGCAAGTATTCAGTGTGCGTTATGTGATTTAATGGTCATCAGTTGTGTTTGCAGGACCGGGAGTATTTGACCCCAATTTTTTTAGATTCAGTAGGCTCATAAGTTGTCGACTAATTTTAACGGGGTCCTTTAAGTATTAAAGTGTTATCAATGTACAGTAAGGAAGCAGATTTTGAGGTAGAAGAGTCTTTCTCGTGTGTCTTGCTAGGTACACTTTGGGCCAAAGAATCTTTGTTATTTTGTGTTCCTGCGGCTGACTAATTTGTGGTTTCCTTCTTCGTTTTTCAAGTCAGAGGCAAGAAATGCCTCTGAAGAACGTTTTTGGGGGTGACTTATGAAAATATTTTTGTAGTCCTTTCCTTAAGTCTTTTCACTTTTCTTGTGTTGTTGTTATTTAGAGCCTTTCTAGCTCCAGGTTGCACCAGTGATGGACACATTACGGCACCTGCAAGCTGGTTTTCTCAGTACAGAGATGAGGAAGTGAGGTTGCGCAGGGCATCACCCCTCTCTTCCCTCTGTGCCTTGTAACCCACACCTCTGCTCTTTATAAATTTTAATTTATAATAAGTTTTCTATAAACCATTAAGATGCCCCTGACGTATCAGGGAAGACTGGCGGCATGTGTGCAAACAGCCCTCTCTAGAGAGTGACAGGGCTCATGGCTCGATTGTGAGAGTCACAGATGACCCCTCCCCCAGCCTTGCTGGTTTCAACAAGCTGGTTTTCTTCATGGTTCTTCCTAAAATGGCTCAGGAGGGCTCCATGTTAGTGTTATATACTATGAAGCTTATAAAAGTCATTCTACTTACCACCAAGATCTTATTCTTGGGAAGCTGGGATTTTAACTCTTAAAAGATTTGTTAATCTAGCTTGATGACTCATGAATCTGATTCTCTGATAAGCACTGTGATTTACCTCTGGTCATGGGGGCCCCCAGAAGAAGCAGAGGAGGACCTGGCATTTTATGTCACTGGTAGCTAGATTCCATGGGTCTCTGGGCTGCTTGTTAGAGATGTGGTTGTCTGTGGCCGCTCCAGTGCGACCCTTTTCTGACAGATAATCAGAGAGAAGAAACCTTTCCGGCACCAAGCATAGACAATTGGGCTCCTGAAGATCTGAAGAGAGTGATCCAGTTATGAGGGAGCATGCTGTGGACCTCACTGCTCTGTCAGAGGTGTGACAAGAACCCATTTAAACCATTATCCTGTGAAAACGGGGGACCAGTTTTGTATTTTGGGATTTTTTTGCAAGTGTATTGTGAGGCTTTGTCTTGCTCAGAAATTGGTGAGTTAGGTAAGATGATCGATGCCTGATGAACACACACACTGTTGTGAAATGGTTCTTCCTCCTTTAAATGACAGACCAATGAAGCCTTTCATTGTAAGGGAGTAAGTTAGTAATTTTATTTGCTCCATGGGTTTGCGGTCGCATCCCAGGCCAAGGCTGCCTTCTTCACCCTTACACTGAGGTTTGCAATATAACTTTTTGATCCTAAGGGCAATAAGGCGGTCAATGGAACCCTGCCTTTAAGAATGAATGTAAGATAAAGGGTTTTTGTTTGTTTGACTTACTGTTTTAATATCTTCTAAGGTGCCATTCTTATACCTTTGTTTTTTCCTTTCTGCTGCTCTGTGGGCTCAAACCACATGATATTATATCATTGTTTGGAAAGAGATTTAAGTCTTTCATTGTGGCTGTATCACCTTCTGAGTTTTATGATTTGGGCTCTTAAAAATGTTACAAAATGTGATTTTATAAAGTACTCTGTTTCCCCCGTGACCTGTGGCTTCAGGCTACTTGGGAACATCTTAACTGTCTGCGGCTCCTAAGTCAGGCAATGGTGCTTCAGAAAGGAAAGTTACCCCTCCCTGCCATGTGCATGTGTGTGTGTGTGTGTGTGCGTGTGTGTGTGTTTTACAGCAACAGAGAACCCGGAGGCCAAATCCTGAACTAGAATGTTCTATCATCACTGAGCTCCCGTTCTGAAGAGGGACTCTAAGAAGATCCATGGAGTGGCCCGAGACTCTTAATTACCCAACTCAAAACCTTCCTTTTGGAAGAGTCCACTCCGGTGTTGAACTCTTCACGGCTGTATCTCATTGACTTTTAAAATCAAACTAAAGTTTTTATTTGTTGGAGGCAATGAGCTGTAAGGCTACGCGCATTGACCTTGTGACTCATGGAATCTTTACTCCGCTGTAGTTAATAAACTTCTTTGCACTTTGCGGCTACCCTCTGCATGTCTGTCTACATGAAAATGAGAAGTGTCATGTGAAGGAGGGGGTTTGTGGTTTTCAGCCTTGAGGAGATTGTCTGAGCTGTATGCCAGCAGGACTCGGAATAGAGCCGCGGCTTGATGGGGCCGGCTCACACAGCTCACACGGCTCACACAGCTCACACGGCTCACACAGCTCACACGGCTCACACGGCTCACACAGCTCACAGCTCACACAGCTCACAACTCACACAGCTCACACAGCTCACACAGCTCACACAGCTCACACAGCTCACACACACAGCCCACACAGCTCACACATACAGCTCACACAGCTCACACAGCTCACACACACAGCTCACACAGCTCACACACACAGCTCACACAGCTCACACATACAGCTCACACAGCTCACACACACAGCTCACACAGCTCACACACACAGCTCATACAGCTCACACAGCGGGAGTCCTGTGAAATCTCTGGGGATGTTGTGAGCCAAGTGGCAAACTGTTGGTGGCATGACACCGACTGTAGTGGGAATATTTACATGCAGCCCGTGTAGCATGGTCCTCGAGGCAAGAAAACATGCACTAGTGTTCAGGACAAATTCTAAAAGACAGGCATACCCAGGCTTCAGTAGAGCTAAGGGTGTGTGTGTGTGTGTGAGAGAGAGAGAGAGAGAACACTTACTTTGAAGGTGACTTAAAATGGAGACGTATCAGCCGGGCAGTGGTGGCTGCACGCCTTTGATCCCAGCACTTGGGAGGCAGAGGCAGGCGGATCTCTGTGAGTTCGAGGCCATCCTGGTCTACAGAGCTAGTTCCAGGACAGGCTTTAAAGCCACAGAGAAACCCTGTCTAGAAAAACCAACCAAACAAATAAAAATTGGAGAAGTACCTTACCACCAGGAAGCCCCAAGTTATTCTCCAGGATGGCACAGCTACTCAAAGTGTTTGCTAGGAGAATGACTTGCTCCCTGTGTGCTGGCAGCCCTTACAGTCGGAGGAAACCTTCACAACATGTTAGGCTGCAGCACCTGGCAGGTGGAGCTTTGGAAGCAGCTGAAGGATGATTGCTTAGCCTGGCTGTGTTTTATAAGAGAAGGAAAGAAAAGGAAACCGCTGTGTCTGGAACAGAGCCGAATGCTTTTCATTCATCTTAAATTAACTGTGCCTTGTTCACATAAAGCCGATCTCTCAGCAAACGCCTCATGCTTTACAAGAATTTTGTTGTTGTTTGGTTTTGTTTCAATAGGGGCTCGCTGTATATCCCAGGCTGTCTTCTCCTGCCTAAGCCTTCTGGGTGCTGAGATTTCAGGCAAACACTACTACAGCTGGCCCATTTGAGATCTTGCTTGCAGAGTTTGTAATCCAAAAAGGGAAGTGACACCTGCAGGGACCTGGAATGTGATGTTCACTTTGTTAAGTTGCATATGGTCTTTCCTTTTAGAATAGAAATATAAATGTCCTGAATGGGACATCAGTACCACGCCCTCTAAGGCTCACGGAACATCACAGAAGAAGAGGCAGAAAAAGTGGAAAAACCAGAAGATAATGGAGTGCTCTGCTTCTGGCTATGACATAGCCCTTGTAATGATGCATACACAGAAGCATAAGACCTGCGTGCGTGCACACACGCTCATATACACGCAGACATGCACATGTGCGTGCACACATGCTCATATACACGCAGACACGCACATGTGCGTGCACACATGCTCATATACACGCAGACACGCACATGTGCGTGCACACATGCTCATATACACGCAGACATGCACATGTGTGCGCACACATGCTCATATACACGCAGACATGCACATGTGTGCACACACACAAAAGCAAGAATAGGACTAGTTGGGAAGAGGAGGGGGATCAACAGGGCTGAGATGGGAATAAGAGGGCAATGGGGTGAATATGGACATGACAACACACTGGGTAACATTTGTGAAGCTGACAAAAATTCATTCAAAAAAAATAAAAATGCAGATGCAAATTGGGTAGTGAGACTGGCGGCTGAAAGGAGAACCTTGATTTGAAGGTTCCTGTTTAGGTTTCTGCAGTTACCTCAGAAGGCATGCATGCCTCTGGTTTGCTTTGAGCCTGACCTAACGTGCTGGCAGACGTCTCTCAGTTGATGTGGGGGATGCTGTGGCAGGAGGTCGTGGTGCATTGCTTTTCCTGGGCGCTGTCATCTTGGGTAAGCAGTGACTTTGTGTGCTCTGAGCCATTGTTTGAACTGTTCTGAGAAGAAAGTTAGTTTTCAGTCAAAGGAAAGCTGGTTAAATTGGCATTGCTGTAGGTTGAGGCGGCCATGCATAGAGTTCCCAGTCTCCGTAGGGGGGAGTTGCCAGTCTCCGTAGGCGGGGAGTTGCCATGAGGTGGACAAGTAAGTACAACTTTAGTCTTCTTAATGTGCTTTGTGTCAAGGTTCTCAGAGAAAAGAGAAGTAAGCTTTGCCATGAACGAGGTCGTCCTATGGCTTTAGGCAGAGTTGTGACTGGCTGTTCTTGAGCTCGTGGCAGTACTCCTCCCTCACCATCTTCCCCCTGTTCTAGATACATCAGCTTGTCCCCCAGGCAACAGTTCAAATCTCCCAAGAGAGCTGGACTGCCCTGGCTCATCCCAGACCTCCAGAAAGACAGCCGCAAGCTGGGTTAGGACTAGCAACATGTTGGTCTGGAGGGAGTGGGAGATGGTTCCCAAGGTCCCATCTAAGTAGCATGTAGTCTAGGTTCTGTTTCAGAAGACTCGGAGAGCCCCATCTGTATTACATGGTCTCAGGAGGAGAAGCAAGGGAGTAAGAGGTTTGTATCTCAGAGTGGTCGTGAGGACTCGTATATGTCTGAATTTCTGAGGGTCCAAAGGTACACAGGAGTAGATGGGGGGTTGGAGGGGATGTAGCGTCACACTGGGGTGAGGCGTGAGTGAGGGTACACAGGACAGATGGGGGTCAGAGAGGCATAGCATCACGGTGGGATGAGGCATGAGTGAGGGTGCATAGGACAGATGGGGGTCAGAGGGGCGTAGCATCACAGTGGGCTGAGGCGTGAGTGAGGGTACACAGGAGCAGATGGGGGTTGGAGGGGCATAGCATCACAGTGGGGTGAGACGTGAGTGAGGGTACATAGGATAGATGGAGGTCGGAGGGGCGTAGCATCACAGTGGGGTGAGGCGTGAGTGAGACTTCTGCACAGCTGTCTGTATTCTGTAGTCTGTTACTACCAGGGGCAAACTGGCTAGGAGACAGCACCCTGCTCTTCCACTGTCCTGCCATAGTGTAGTAATATGTAAATAAATATTGTAACCCTGGTGGCTACACACACCCTAGGACGGATAGGAGATATTTGCCAGGAGCTATTGTGAAAAAGCCGTAAGCTTGGGTCAGAATTCTGGACCAGCACGGGAAATAACTGACTCTGTGGCGTTACCTGAAACCGACTGCTGAGCTTCGTCAATGGCTGGAAAGGGAACAGGGGAGAGATGAGAGTTTAAACAAAGCCTATTGATTGGCAAGGTGCTTCTGAGTGTGCTAGCTGGCTGGAATTTTAAAAACCAAAATTAATGGTGTGTGTTTAGAATTTAGAAGTTTGGTAATTGTATATGTTTCAAATATATATGTGTATATATATATATGTGTGTGTGTATGTATATATGTATGTGTTGTGTATTAAATAACATTTGAGTTGACAACGCATTGGTCCTATATGATCACACAGCCTAGTGGCATTAGAGCCATCTTAGTTTGATAAGCGCACTCTCGGATGCTCACACAATGGAATTTCCTGATGATACATTGCCCCTCACTAAGTGATGTAGGATGATGATGATGATCTGTGAGGGTATAAAAAAGAAATTTCTGAATGTTGGCCACCTACCCAGGAAACTGAAACTTGACTAGAGGATTCTTGGTAAGTTCCTAAGGTGTCATGAGCATGTTTGAGAAGCTGTAAACTGAGGGTTTTTTGCCTCCCACGTCATCCCGGCTCTGGAGCTGTAGTGGTTCATAGGCACTCTGCAGCCTCTTGGAGCTTAGAGCCTTGGGGAGTGGGAGGAAGAGCAAATATTTAATCAGATGAGCACCCCAACAAATAGATGATTGCGAGTTGTGACAAACGGCCCGAAAGAATTATAAAGAGCGCCATGAAGGTGTGAGTAGGTGGTCTGTGCTAGGATGGGTGGCTGAGGAGAGGCTTCCTCAGGAAATGAGATTTAACCTGACATCTGGAAGATGAATCAAAAGGAGCTAAGGGCATGTGTGATGTATGCAAAGGTACGCACACTGAGGTTTGGAAGAACATCCAATGGGAGTGGGACAGATTAATCTTGTCTCCCCAAATACAGCACAGAAAACGAACACACTAAAACGTCAGCTGCCCTGGCCAGTGTGGAGAAACACTTCCACATGGATGATACGAGCTGGGGCCGAAAGATCCAGGATACCTGGGGTTGAAGTTAGACTGTACCAATCTACTGTGTTTTTAGGCAAAACCTACCACTGGCCTGTACCTCAGTTTCCCCATCTGCAAAACGTCTCATGGTTGTGGTGAAGACCGAGTTCGTATGTAAATTGCTCAGACAGTCCCTGGCCTCACAGCTTTCTCTGTTTATTGCATATCAATTCTTAATTTTTAGTGTAGTTGCTTATCAACTAGAAAAAAGAAAAAAAATGTCTGAGCCTATAATGTTAAAGTTGAGTTCCAGGGGGTTGAGCCTGGAAAATAACTTTTTTTTTTTAAATTTAAATTCAATGCTCTTTCTTCTAGAAGCATTGCTTTTCTCTCCAGTCCACACAGAACGCTATCCCTGCACTGGAGTATTTAAGACTGCAAATGGCTTATTTTTTTTTTTAATCCATCACACTATACGTTTCCTAGAACTGGTTTGAAGGAGGCAGGGTGTGGCTCTGCACGAGTAAGTCGGTCCTTTTCAAGTTACTTGTTTCCTCGTAGAGTGGTGTCAAGGGGTTGCGGGATGCCTTGAAGCTGGTTTCCAGGTAATGGTCACATTGCTG